GTCAGAGACGGCCCCTGTTCCCACCATTAGAGAGTCATACAAGAGGACCAAGCTACACGACTGTAACATAGACAGAGTACCTAAGTCAGTCCCACACAGGCTCCTGGTTATCGGTTCAGTCTCTGTGAGCCCTTGTGAGCCCAGGTTAGTAAGCCCCTGTGAGCCCAGGTTAGTTGATTCTGTGGGTTTTCCTTGACCCTTCTGACTCCTACAATCTTTCTCCCCCTCTTCAGCAGGGTACCCCGAGCTCCATCTAATGTTTGGCTGCGAGCCCACACCTGTGTCTATCAGTTCCTGGATGAAGCCTGTCTGATGACAATTGAATTAGGCACCAATCTCTGCATAGCAGAATATCGTTAGGCACCAGTCTTCCCTCCAATCATGTTTGGTTCTATCCTGGGTCTCTGGGTCATCCCACCGCTGGGTCCTGGTGCTCCAGGCAGTGTCAGGGATGGGCTTACAATCCTGGCATGGGTTTTAGGCTACACTAGTCATTGGCTGGCCACTCCCACAATATCTGTACTGTTAGGACCCAGTCCCCATGGGGTCCCTAAGAGTTGTTTTCCAGCAAAGCCACTGGTACCTGTTTTCCTGACCTCACCCCACTGGGATCAATATCCTGTTTCGAACCCTTTGACCTGGGTTTTTTGTAAGTTTGTATATAAGGCTGCTCCACAATAAAGGTGAGGGACATTCTCTCAGAAAGTGGACCAGTCGGGCTGGAGAGATGGCTCACAGGTTAAGAGCACCAACTGCTCTCCCAGAGGTCCTGAGTTCAATTCCCAGCAACCACATGGTGGCTCACAACCATCCGTTATGAGATCTGGTGCCTTCTTCTGGTGTGCAGATAGACATGGAAGCAGAATGTTGTATACATAATAAATTAAAAAAAAACAACCCAAAACTTCTACCACCCCCCACCCCATGCACACACACAAATAAAACCTGGGGAGGGTTACTCTTTGGGAGTGGGGTGGGGGGATGTAGTTCATTTGGTGAATGCTTGTCTAGAACACGTGAACATAGGGTCCATCCCAGCATCACATAGACATGAACAAAATGGGGTGATCCATGCCTGCGGAGCCTGGTACTTGGGAAGTAGAGGCAGGAGGATTAGCAGTTCAAAGTCACCTTCGTCTACATATCAAGTGGGTTTGGGGTATGTGAGAACTTGCCTCACCCCCCTCCCTGATAAAATGAATAAAATAAAAATACTATGTATATTACGATACCATTTATATGAGACCTCCAGGATAGGTGGGTTTAAGAATTAAAGACTTTTTTTTTAAAGATTTTATTTATTTATTATGTATACAACATTCTGCTTCCGTGTATATCTGCACACCAGCAGAGGGCACCAGATCTCATAACGGATGGTTGTGAGCCACCATGTGGTTGCTGGGAATTGAACTCAGGACCTCTGGAAGAGCAGCCGGTGCTCTTAACCTCTGAGCCATCTCTCCAGCCCCCATTGGGTTGGTTTTTATATGATATGGGTTTTATATATTTATACACATTCATCTGTATGCTTGTGTGTAGACACATGTGGGGGTCATAGAATAGCTTACAGGGGTCAGTTTTCTCCTTCTACCCTGTGGATCCTCAGAACCAAATTCAGGTTGTCAGGATTGGTGGCAAGACACACACCCATTGAGCCAAGTTGCCAACCCTGCTTGTCTGTTCATTTTCAGAGACAGAACCTTGTTTTGTAGCCCAGGCTGGACCATAACTCAGTGTCAGGTTATGGAACAGTTAGGTTTGCTAGTATCTGAAACCAGATCCAGTCCTGAGTTTTTTGTTTTGGTTTGGTTTTTTGTTTGGTTTGGTTTGGTTTTTCCAGACGGGGTTTCTCTGTGTATCCCTGGTTGTCCTGGAACTCATTCTGTAGACCAGGTTGGTCTCCAACTCAGAGATCTGCCTGTCTCTGCCTTCCGAGTGCTGGGATTAAAGGTGTGTGCCATCCATCACCCAGCTCAGTTTTAAAGAAAACTAATAGTTCTTACTACAATCATTTATTTAGCTTGTGTGGAGATCAGAAGACAACTTGTGGAAATCAGTTCTCTCTTTCTACCATGTGGTTCTGGAAAATCAACTCGTGTCATCAGGCAGAGTAGCAGGTGCCTTTACCCACTGAGCAAACTGGAGACTCCAACTTTTTTCTTTCCCTATGTTTATTATTGCTATTATTTGTGGTGGGTTGGATGAGAATGGCTCCCGTAGGTGCTTATATTTGGATGCTTGGTCCCCAGTTGACGAACAGTTTGGAAAGGATTGGGAAACTGTTAAAGGAGGTGTGTCATGGGAGTGGGCTTTGAGGTTTCAAAAGCCCAGCCCAGGCCACGTGGCTTTCTGCCTGCTGCCTGTGGATCAGGATGTAAAGCTCTCAGCTACTTCTCCAGCATCGTGCCCATCTGCTTTCTGCCGGCGCGATGATAATGGACCAAGCCTCTGAAACTGTAAGCAACTGTAAGCAAGCCCCCAGTTACATGTTTTCTTTTATAAGAGTCCCGTTGCTTATGTATTGCTGTGTGTGTGTGTGTGTGTGTGTGTGTGTGTGTGTGTGTGTGCGCGCATTAGATCCTCCTGGAACTGAAGTTACAGGCATTGCAAGCCACCTGACGCCTGATGTGGGTGCTGGGAATCAAACTCAGGTCCTGTGGGAGAACAGTGTGCATTCTTTCTCTTTTTTTCCCTAAGATTTATTTATTTTTATTCTATGTGTATAGGGTTTTTGTCTGCAGGCATGGCTGTGTAGCATGTGTGTGCAGTGCCCAGGGAGGCCAGAAGAGGGCACTGAATTCCCTGGAACTGGAGCTACAGATGGTGAGAGCCACTCGTGGGTATTGAGAATTGAATCTGGGTTCTCTGGAAGAGCAGCCAGGGCTCTTAACCACTGAGCCATCTCTCCAGTTCCTCAGGAGGAAGCTCTTAACTGCTGGGTTGTCTGTTCAGCGCACGCGCGTGCTCGCGCGCACACACACACACACACACACACACACACACACACACACTTCATTCTAAAGACATCATCACAGTAGATTCTAGAACCACCTTACTCTGTCTTCACCTGAACACTTCTCAAAGCCCCTAACTGGTCATCCTCTACATATGGGGTTGGGGTGAGAGATCTCTGTCTCCGGTGGGTGCATCCGTGTACACCAAGAGGCAGCACTAGGGTCAGAGGCCAGGGCTTCAGGCAAGCTAGGCAGACTCTACCGCTGAACAACAGACCCAGCATGCTATTTTAAAACAGCAAAAATTTAAAGTGTAGGGGCTGGAGAGATGGCTCAGAGGTTAAGAGCACCGGCTGCTCTTGCAGAGGTCCTGAGTTCAATTCCCAGCAACCACATGGTGGCTCACAGGCATCCGTTATGAGATCTGGTGCCCTCTTCTGGTGTGCAGATAGACATGGAAGCAGAATGTTGGATACACGACAAATAAATAAAATCTTTAAAAAAATATATAAAGTGCAGGAGTGTATGTGTCTGTGCCATGTGATGTGTGTGCAGTGCCCAGAGCCGCCAGAACAGGCAGTGGGTACCCTGGAACTGGAGTTGCAGACAGTTGTGGGCTGCCATGTGGGTTCTGGGAATTGAACCCTGGTCCTCTGGAAGAGCAGTCGGTGCTCTTACACATTGTGCCATCTCTGCAGCCCCCAGCCAGCTTTTTTTTTTTTTTGCTTTTGAGACAGGGTCTTGCCAAGTTGTCCAGGCTGCCCTTGAACTCATTCTGAAGCCCAGGCTTGTCTCAGGCTTTACCTTTTTATACCTTGTGTGATTGACATCTGTGGGCGGCCCATCATTTTCACTGCCTCTCGGATGTTCAGGGTGAGAGAAGACCACAGGTCCTGAGTCCCCCCTCCTGCTGCAGGTCTCGTCTTTCTTTCCATTTCTGTGTCCTACACCTCCTCCTTTACCATCTCTTGGAATTTTCCCCATTGCCTAGCAGGACTCATTAACAGGTTGTAAAATCAATTTGGTGGATTGCAAACATGGTTTTTCCATTAATGAAATGTAATTAAATAGAACGTATTAAGACAGGGACACCGGAGTTGGGGTGAGGGCTGTGCTGTGAGATTTTTTTATAAGTACATTTATTTATTTAGTGTGTGTGTGTGTGTGTGTGAGAGAGAGAGAGAGAGAGAGAGAGAGAGAGAGAGAGAGAGAGAGGGAGAGAGAGAGAGAGGGAGAGAGAGAGAAATGTATGCATCATTGCAGGAGTCAGTTCCCTTCAGTTCTCTCTATCTACCATGTAGGTCCTGAAGATCAAATCCAGTCAGTCTTGGTATCTCATCAACCCAGCGCTTTTTTGTTGTTGTTGTTGTTTTTTGTTTTTTCGAGACAGGGTTTCTCTCTGTAGCTTTGGAGCCTATCCTGGCACTCGCTCTGGAGACCAGGCTGGCCTCGAACTCACAGAGATCCTCCTGCCTCTGCCTCCCGAGTGCTGGGATTAAAGGCGTGCGCCACCAACGCCCTGCCAACCCAGCTCTTAAGTTATTTTTTATTATTATTTTTGAATTATACCAGGCATGGTGATGAAGCTCTTGGGAGGCAGAGGCAGGCAGATCTCTGCGAGTTTGAAATCATCTCGTCTACATGGGGAGTTCCAGGACAGCCAGGGATATATGATGAGACCCTGTCTAAAACACAAAACAAACGGCCGGGCCGTGGTGGCGCACACCTTTAATCCCAGAACTTGGGAGGCAATGGCAGGCAGAATTCCATGAGTTTGAGGCCAGCCTGGTCTACAGAGTGAGTTCCAGGACAACCAGGGCCACACAGAGAAACCCTGTCTCAAAACAAACAAACAAACAAAAAAACCCAAAACAACAAAATGTGTATCTCTCTCTCTCTCTCTCTCTCTCTCTCTCTCTCTCTCTCTCTCTCTCTCTCTGTGTGTGTGTGTGTGTGTGTGTGTGTGTGTGCGTGTGTGGTACACTCAGAGGCCAGAGGCATCAGACCCCCTGGATCTGGAGTTATTGTCCAATGGGGTGAATGAGTTGGGACCTAAACACTGGTCCTCTAAACACACAGCAGGTGCTTTTTTGTTGTTGTTTTCTTTTTATTTATTTATTTTTGTTTGGTTTTTTGAGACAGGGTTTCTCTGTGGCTTTGGAGGCTGTCCTGGAACTCACTCTGCAGACCAGGCTGGTCTCGAACTCGCAGAGGTCTGCCTGCCTCCCCACGGCACAGCAGGTGCTCTTAAGCACTGAAGTATCTTTCCAGTCCCAGCCCAGGTCTTTTGTTGAGCTAGAGCTTTTCCAATCCCAACACCCTGGAGACAGAGGTAGGAGAATCAAGGCAACCTTGAAGCCAGCCTGGTCTACAGAGTGAGTTCAAGGCCAGCTTGAGCTATTTAAGAAGCCCCAAGTTACAAAGAGGAAAGGGAGAGGAGGAGGAAGAAAAGGAGAGAGAGAGAGAGAGAGAGAGAGAGAGAGAGAGAGAGA